TTATAGCTTCAGTGTAGCCTTGGTCATTTTCATTGTTACAGCAGAAACATGTCAGTAAAACGTCATTGTAGCTGATCTCTAACACATCTGATAACTCGTGTTTTAGAGGCTGCACATGTATAAATTTTTATTTATTTTTATTTTTTATAGTACTCTTACAGTATTTGAAATGCCTGCTTGAATATTAACGCAGTGGAATTCAGATGTTTGACCTTTGTGCTTGCTCCTGGTAGCCTGTCGTGAAGCTGGTATACAACAGAAGCAACAACAAGTACTCCTACACCAGGTAACAAAGGTTCCTCCAAAGATCTTATTGGCTCTCGTAATGCAAGAACAATTGTTTTCCTTCCTTTCAAAGTACTCTGTGAGGGGAGACTGTTGGTTGTTTTGAAGCTGATAAACTGTAATGAGCTCGTGGACCTCTGCTCTACATCACTCCGCCTTTATCTCAACAGCAACTCTGACGACCACCTGCTGAAGAACATCGAGCTGTTTGACCGGCTGTCTCTCAGCTTCAACGGCCGCATCCTCTTCATCAAAGACGTCATCGGGGACGAGATCTGCTGCTGGTCCTTCTATGGTCAGGGTCGCAAGCTGGCTGAGGTTTGCTGCACCTCCATCGTCTACGCCACTGAGAAGAAGCAGACCAAGGTGAGGCGGAGCAGCTGGTGGGAATCTCCCGTGTTGCTCTTTGTTTTGTGGGTTTTCTTCGGGGTACAGAGTTCCTCCAGTTAGATTCTTATTGTGCTCAGCATAGTTTCTGGGTCACAGGCATAACCTCTGACCCTTCATCATGGACGCTGGACTGAAGGCTCTGCTGCCGGCATGCTGATGACTGCGCTGTGTTTGCCAGCTCTTCTTGTTTGATAGCAGCTTTGTGCACTTTGTTGCTTTTTTACACACATACAGGTCGTTGAGTTTGTGAACTAAAAGGAAGTAAGAAAACATTAAAGCACAGTTTGTATGGTGTGAGTGGCAGCAAAGGTGGATTGCTTTACCTGCTGTGACGCTCCAGGTGATGTGACTAAGCTGGGTGGTGGGATTTCAACGTTTCCTTGCAATCACTCCTTCTCAGGTGGAATTCCCTGAAGCGCGAATCTACGAGGAGACTCTGAACACCTTGCTTTACGAGACAATGCCGCTGCCCGACAACTCCCTGCTCGAGGCCACGCGTCGGAGATACAACAACTGTGGCTCTCACAGCGAGGAGGAGGAGGGGCCTGGAGGTCCAGAACTGCGCGAGCGTGTCCGTAGAATCCACGTCAAGAGGTACAGCACATACGACGACAGGCAGCTGGGACACTAGGACCGCTGGACAGACTGCAGCTTTTTTTTTTGATGATGATGAACTTAAAGTCCGATTGATGCTCATATGTTTTTCTTTTATTACTTTCTGCCGTCTCAGAGGTGCAAGTGATGGCCTCAGTGAAACCTCACCTGACTGTAGATGTTCTCTGCTCATTCTTACTTTACACATCATCAGGATCCGGAGCAGCGTTAAACACCGAATACCTGCAGCTTTTTCTTTTCTAATCAAATTTACATTTTGAAGTGCAACAAAGAAAACCACTACCATGCACTGTTTATTAGAACCATCATAGCACACGTAGCAGCAAAGCACGTTTGACATTTATTGACTGTATTTTTCACAGACACATTTCCAGGTTGTTGTTTGCCGGTGACGAATCTGTTGGAGGTTTACTGGAAATGCTTTGCCTCGAAGATGTTTTAATGGAGTTTTTCATAAAGCCTCTAAGATAAAAGTTAGTGTTGTTCTGTATTTGTTTGTCTTTGTTTGTGGGAGGCAGGTGTTATTGTGGTTTGAGCTCAGCTGTCAGAGGATTCAAACGCAGTCGACTCGGAGACCAGCTGATGCTGAGCTATTCTAACGCCTCAGCTTTCAGTCTTCAGACAACTTCGACCATTTTCAGAGGACTGTTGGGGTTTTTGTTTGTCATTCAAGCATTTAAAAACAGGAACCTAGCAACAAGGTGATTCTCCATTACTGAGAGTTGATTTTGTCGTCGGGATAAAGGAAAAGGGAAGCAGGGAGATGCTCTAAAGCACAGGTGTCAAACTCCAGTCCTCGAGGGCCGGCGTCCTGAAACTTTTCCTCGTGTCCCTGCTGAAACGCACCTGAATGACATCAGCAAGACTCTATAGAACCTGACTACATGCTGAGGCGGCAGCTCGGTCACTTGATTCGTGTTACAGCAGCTCATGACTGAATGAACACGGTGCAATAAAAGTACTTTTACATTTTTCCAAACACTTCACTTTAATTTACTTGAGTGGGGTGAGAGCTTTCCTGACCCAGCATGCAGTCAGATGCTACAGTCTTGCTAATGACCGACTTGTGTTAGTCAGGTGTGTCGCAGCAGGGACACATGGACAAGTTTCAGGATGCCGGCCCTCGAGGACTGAAGCATGAAGAAGGTTGATACTCGCAAAACTTGGAGCTGGAGTTGTGATGATGTTCACAGAGTGGCTCACAGACAGCATTTACCTACATGTATGTAAATGGGCAGCACTTAAACAGCCAATCCTTCTGTTGCTGTAGCTGCAGAGATGAAGGTTGAGCTCTACAGCAGCACCACATCCCACCAAGGGTTTCCAAACCGTAGCAGGAGCATGGATGTTTTGGGAGGGGAAAAATGTATTTTGAAGATTTTTACAGGTTTAATATTGATTCATTTGTAATGGAGTACAATACAAAGTGTTTGTGTAAAGGGAAATTGTGCAAACACGTATTCTAAGTCAACCATGGTGACTCTGAGCTGCTGGCATTGAAACACCTGAAGCAACGGACACAGATGGAGGAACGGCTGCTACAGCATGACTGCGGCTCTTTATTATTCACCCAAAGCACCAATGCATAAATGCTGAAAGAGCAAATGTGTTGGTACCTTTGCAGGATCACAGTACTCACTGCAACACTTACCTTGTGTCCTCTGCCTTGGAGCTTGTTCCCACTTTCAGTGACACAGACGGATCCACTCATCATCCTGTGGGTTCAAGTCAGGTGTCATTATTAAATTATAGCGGGCATAATGCTCACTAATGCTGAACCCTTGGCCTGTCCCAACCAAATATACAGTTTCTTTGTGAAACAGAACTGGATGTAAAATTTCATTTAGTCTTAAATGGATGATGGAACAAAGCTGTTCACTGGAAATGTGTTATACCCTCTTTGGCCACAAGAGGGCGAGTGTGCACACACATGAAGCGCCTTGAGGCGACTTTTGTTGTGATTTGGCGCTATATAAATAAAATTGAATTGAATATAGACTGATCAAACCTGACTGTGCTACAGGAAACTGAGATACTGTCTAGTTCCTGCATCAAAGAAGGCACCGCCATCAAAGTTTAACAGGTTGTCAGTTGCCCTCAATCACATGTGATGAAGGTACTGGAGACACTGATAGAGGTCCACAACCATTACATCACCAGGTCGTGGCCCACCTCAGACCACAGGTGAAAACATGTCTTGAAACGTACCCGTACAAGGCGACTGTGATCTCTGTTTCTGTTCACCATCAACTAAGACTTTCAGCACGACTTCAGGTCATGTCACCCACACAAATACTCACAAATACAACTGGATGGATGTGTTAGTGACAGGAGCACCCGCTGAGGATTTTGCAGAAACATCTGGCGGGAATCATCGGCTGCTGTGATGGAGGAGTACCTGGGCGCCCACTCTGACAATTTGCTGAAATGGAAGACCAACATAGAGGCTGTATGCAACAAGATGAGTATTGTTACAGAATGCTTCAGTGAGAGCACACATACAAGGTCTTAAATAATCAGGCCCCATCTTATCTTAATGACCATATAATACCATATCACCCTATTAGAGCACTTCGCTCTCGCTCTGCAGGCCTACTTGTTGTTCCTAGAGTATTTAAAAGTAGAATGGGAGGAAGAGCCTTCAGTTTTCAGGCCCCTCTTCTGTGGAACCAACTTCCAGTTTGGATTCAGGAGACAGACACTATCTCTACTTTCAAGATTTTCATAAAAACTGCCTTTTAACTTAACTGTTAAAAGGGATTTTTTTCCTTCCCACTGTCGCCAAAGTGCTTGCTCATAGGGGTTCATATGATTGTTGGGGTTTTCACTGTATTATTGTTGAGTCTTTATCTTACAATCTAAAACACCTTGAGGCAAATGTTGTTGTGATTTGGTGCTATGTAAATAAAACTGAATTGAATTGGTGCCCTGAACCAAACCATGTGCACACAGACACCAGGAATCACTGCAAACATGGGACGTGCAGGGCCAGAGTCAATGATTCTGACTTTGATAGGACACGGATAGAGGTCCACAACCATTACATCACCAGGTCTGAGGTCACCATGGAACTCAGGTGGGACGGGGCATTTGGCAGCTGATATAAAATTATACTCAGTTCTCTTATAAGGAAGCGCTGATTATGATGACAGCAGTCAAACAGGCATTGATGAAGGAGTTCAAAATGTAAACAGATAAGCTCACCGTAGAGGAAAAAGTTGTTCCACTTCACACTGGCAGGGATCTGGATCCACGCATGACAGCTGCTCCAGGATGGAAAGGTCCAATTTTACCTGTTGCACAATTTCAGGATGATTCTTGATCTCAACGGGTTCAACAAACTAGCCCGCTCCAAGGAAAGGCTCTGCATTGGTACATTCCCAGAATGTTCCAATCTCATCTGCATTCATCGACGTGCTGAACTGTGCTTGTTCAGGAAATTTTAGAGAAATTTAAAAAAAAAAAAAATTTTGGGGGGGGGTGATAAGCACTAAAACAATTTTTCTCCTACTTAGAGAAAAATCTCCAAGACAAATTAATCATTTTCATTCTAAAGCGTGTATCTCATGAAAGAGGATTGGGGCTAGGGGGGGACACAAAGAGGGGGGGGGGGGCTGTTTTGAGGGAAAAAAGTCACAATTCTGAAAAAAACAAAACGGAATCCAACCCCCCATTTATTAGTTCCCAGTGGCCCTAATCCTCATCTGTACCGTGTGTTACTGTCCGTCGAGGCTGTTCCGGGTCCACATTTATTCATTGTGGGTCAAATCAATGGAAGTTGTTGTTTCTGGGAGTTTTGAAATGATGAAACTGTGCACGCCATGATGCGCGCAGGAGCTGCAGCGTGTCAGTATGTTGTGAAAAGAAGCAAACACGTTTTCTTTTCTCGAAGTTGCACTGCTCGGACAATGGCAGCTGTCGGTTTGCATTCGGTGACACAGCGCAGCTCTGTTAGGCAGAGGCTGCGATGTTTGCTGAAGCTGCGTTAGTGCTAGTAATGAATTCCCCAATCTGGACATAATGAAGAGTCATCTTTCCGTTAGTGCTGGTGTAACAATATTGATGATGACTTTGGGAAGAGATCAGCTCCACATACGTGGCTTCTCTTTCGTGCTAGTACTTATGCTAGCAGGAGCAGACAGGAAGCTTTGACCCTGACATGAGCGGCAGGCCCATCCTGCCACCTGTTACACGCCACGGACAAAAGAGCGAGCCAAGGTCGTTACTAATGGCGGCTTATTTGTGAAGGCGCACACTCCCACGCGTGTAGTTCAGGCAGCTCTCAGAGCAGAAACCAGCTGAGCCAGAATAAGAGTCAACACGACGTGGAAAAGATTTAAAGGCACTTCTGAAGCAATCCCCGAGTCCGTTGCAGAGATGCAGTCCGTGCTGTAAAAAGCACCTCTGACATCCTCTAACGTCACTTACACGCAGCAAGCATTTGCTGCATGTCGAGTTGACTTTACTGTCACATTCACGTGAAACGACATAAGTCGTGCTGCAGGTGCACACTCAGTCCACACGGAGGCACAAACACAAAGTTTCATGACGGGGTCTCCACTAGAGATTACTGTGCGTCACGTTACCGTGACGTCATTCATTTTGCATCAGGCCGACCTGGCATCAGAGGCGACTGCGCTGTCCACATGTGCTGTAATCAGATGCTACCCCCTCCTGTGCCTATAAGCGTGTGGATAAAGACAGAAGGAATACTGCACCTAACGATCTCACTCCACGTTCACGGCACCGGAGTCCCGGTGGAAAGCTGTGAGGAGGCGTTTGCTCCAGACAAACATAAAGTGGGGGGATTTACAAGCTGCAAACATCGACTGAGCCGGAGCAGCATTTTCACACGTTTCCACAGAATATGCTATAAATAACTCGAGGCTCTACAGGTTGGTGTGTTGGATGCTGAGTGGCTGCAGGCGGCAGGTTGAGGAGGGGCTGGATGCTGTGGGCTCCAGTGATTGTTTTCCTCCTTTCTTGCGCTTCCATTGATCAGTAACGCGAGGAAGGCGGATCCTCTGACGTCGCCGTCAAGCTGCTCGGCTGCGTCAGAGTCCTGCTGAACCAAGGAAGAAGGAACCAAGAAATAAAAGGAGAGCGCTTCGGAAAGGCCGAGCGGAGCGCACGGAGCGTGACGGGGACATACAGACGCGTCGTGAAGAACACCGCAGACATGGAGGGCTGCACGGAGGAAGAATACAAGGAGAAATTACTATGGAACGTCAAACGAGAGGTAGGCGCTCACACGTGACGGCCTGCCGAGCTGCACATCAGTACTCTATTACTTTATTGCACTCAAAAATGCCCACAGAGAGGGGGGTGTTTGGGGTGGAAGGGGACCGTGTTCGTGCTGTGTGGGGCTCAGCTGTCAGCGTCACAAGTTCAAGTTGCCAAACAGTTCAATAAATGCACCATCAGTCCTCATCCACCTGCACTCCGTCAGTGATAAAATGCCTGTTTTCTTTGCTTCGTGTTTATTACTGTTACGTTACAAAGCTGGATATTTCAAATATGTTAGCATGTCTGATTTTGTCCACAGTAATTCCACTTTCGAGTACACATGAAGGCTTTTTAAAATGTGGCGTGGCTGTATGTGAAAGCCCAATCTGGGGTAATTACATGTTTAAATGATATCAAGTATTTTGCCTAATGATCTGACAGCTAACGATCATCAAACATTTGGCAGAAGTGGGGAGGAGGAACCCCTTATTTTCCAAACTATTTGTATCGACATGATGATGTACGTAATTTGCATCCAATCATAAGCGAGCCCTCCAGGAGGATTGCATTAGAAACCTCATGTTTTAAGTGATAAGCCGCGGCATCTACCAGCAGCACTAACATCCACGGTGCACGCTGTGCTACAGGCTTTTTCTCTTCCTGATGATGAATGTCTCACATCTCCCCAGTGAGGAATAAATCATTACCCCTTTAACCTTTCTACCCACTCTCGTTGTGATCCTCATGCTGAAAGCTACAACTGGAGATATTTCCCTGCAGATGAAATGTCAGTAAAAACCAAAAGCAGCCTCTTAGGAGGCTGGATGTGGCGAGGTGTGGCTCACTGCTTGTACCTCAGTCTGAGCATGAAGCTCCTGCCATTATAATGGAGAAGAAAGGTCAGGCTAAAAATAACAGGCCAAAAATCTGATAGAGCGAAGAGGTGGGGGGATTACCTAATCAGTGCTCTCTGTGCTGTGAGTTAAAGTATCCCGTTCATCAAACAGTACCTCATTAGTTCTCCGTCACTGCTTCGCTTTAGGCAGCGAATTACTTGATATAGTTTAGTTGTCATGTTTGCGCCAGTATTCAGATACATTGACTGAAGATTGTGGTTTAGTGGATTGATATCACTGCTGCATCTAAAAGAAGACGAAAGCAGAAAATGGAAACACTTTTACTTTAAGGGAATAAAAGCTGCAGCTGAGTTGGACATTTGGAGCCATTGTGCAAACCTCACCACACTTTTCATCTTCCTTTTACAACTGACTAAAGATGCTAAATGCTGATGGCCTGCTGACAGCATGCACATTACATTTGAATCAACAGAACTAGCAGTGAGACCTAAATATGATCATTATTCCTGTAGTTGTTTCTTTCATTCTGTGTTGACCACTTAACAGTGTGTTACTTTTTCTCTTCATGTCCAGTCAGGATGCAGAATTCTGGGCTAATAAACCTGTATTTCAAACAAGTAACATTAAACGTGAACATACGCAGTTTTATCATTATTATAGATTGATTGACAGGATTTATAAGGCCAATATTAATATTTAGTGATTTTAAAACGTGATATGTTGGTTCATTTTTTTCAGACCCACGATAATAAACAGATTTTCCTAACAGTTGTAATGTGTTGTATATATGAGTGCAGTTTAAAAATATCCTTTTTTATTGTTAGAAGTCATTGAATACTTTACTCTCTGTCTTTGTGTTGCCAGCAAAGGGAGGTTGCAGAGTGCCCTCTGGTGGACAAACTGTAAAACATCAGTATTAATTACGTGGTTGAAGGGTGTTTCTCCTGCCTGTCATACATACTGGGAAATGGTTAAAATAGCTCCTGTGCAGTCTGAGGTGCAAGACTAATTTTGAATATCTAGGCTAAACACTTGTGTTCTCCTCCAGCTATTCCAGAGTCACCTACAGGTTTGAGTCTTAAATAATTGAGTCATAGCATCGCCTCAGGCTCAAAATAGCTCCAGTTCTCAGGATGACTGCAGGTGGTGGGGTCTGCGTCTACTAAACACAGATTACGTGGGAAAAGGAAAAGACTGTTGCAGTCTTGGGTGACTGAGCCACTGACAGGTGTGTGTTGATACGCCGAGCTGCATCTTCAAATACACCTCCGGTCACTGTCTTGTGCTGCAGTAGCATCAATTGTTAATGCATGCTGGCTGTTAACATTTAAACAACGCCTCGGTGTCTCGGTGGAGTGTCTTTGTATTTGAATTTTGAAATAATTTAAGTTGTATTAAAATCCTCTCTACATGTGATGAGGTGGTCCTGTTTCTGAGATCTGTTCAACATGTAATATTGGACCATCTGCTTCTTCAGCTTAGTGCTTCTCAAACACAGGGGTTATTGTCAGTTTCTTTTTTTCATACACACCAGTTCCCGTTTTCTGTCAATTAAATGCAGATCTTTTAACTTTAGACTAGGATTGATGTGCCCTCACGTGAAGGAGATGCTGTTGCTTAAGAAAGGATCAGTTATCTGTTTTTGCCATATGCTCTAACTGCTCTAACTCTTCATGTTCTGTATATCTTTGGTATACACGATTATCCCAGAGTTCATCCATGGCACGCCCGTCACTGTCTCAGGATGTTTTAAAGCATGGCAAATTCAGCTGTGTTGAGAGAGCCTGGTTAGAACGGGGCTGACTGGCTCCTGCGTTAAAGCTCTCTGTCTCTTTAAGCGGCACTCTGTTCGCTCACTATTGCTTGGCAACTGAAAGCCTGTGCAGCTCCCAAAGAAGTTAAATTGCATCAGTTGGCGATTAATATCTCAGCAGTGAGGCGGCCCTGTCAGGTGGTCTCTTACACCGAGTCAAAAAGTGCCTTTCTCTAGTCACCTGTTTCCTTAAGCATCCTTCTCCTTTTCTAAAATCTGTCGTAGTTTTCTGGTGGTTCCAGAAGCAGCTTAGTCGTCCTGTAGATCAATACTTTTCTCTGTTTCCACCAACATAGAAGATTTTTGGAGGAAATTAATTTCCCCCTAAACACAGAGCTTTTCTAGCAGTTTCTTAACTAGTCAGATAACAAATCAAAGTATATGAAAGAGGCTCTGTGTGCTTAAAATATAGTATCCTGGGTTTTTCTGTTTTCCTGCTGCAGTAAAAGATACTTCACTCAAACCTGAGCTGAATCGAGTGTTTCATACTCGATTCAGCTCAGGTACAGTGCAAGTGCATGTAGCTGTACTGAACTGTTACCCTCATGTAACTGTAGCCATGCATGCTGATTTGAGTGATTAAATACTGTAGTGTTTACACGTGTCAGTGTAACAGCTCTCCACATGTTGGCCGTCGCGTTTGCTCTGTGATAGAAATAAAGGCTCTCTTTAGAAGAAGCAGAGAGCCGGGTGAAATGCATGTGTGCGCGCGCGCACACACACACACACACACACACACACACACCACACACACACACACACACACACACACACACACACACACACACACACACACACACACAAACCACACACCACTCAACATAATTGGCATAGTTGTAAAAGCTCTTCATTAGTTCCCCAGCTGCTCACAGAAAATGGAAAATCATCTTCAAGATCAGGAAACTGTCACATGACCAACATCAATACTGTGACCGTAGTGTTGGAAGTTGGCTTTCATTTCCTTTACGTACTACACTGGGTAGCCTTGGATGCTGCTGTGTAACAGCATTAAATAGTTTCTTCTCTGAAGAAATATTCTAGCATTACAAAATACTAGAGGTGGGAATCACCATACATCCCACGATACGATATTATCACAATACTTAACGCACGATACGATATTATCTCTTCGCATAATATTATTGATTTAAAATATTTTGCGATATTCAGATTCTGTACATAAAGGTAAACTTTATCAATATTCATTTTATCTAATATCAAAGTCTCACACTCAGTCTTTCTCTCATTTCAGTATTTTATTGTTGACAAACTGAACGGTTTGTATTACAGTCTAGTCCAACTTAACTGAATGCAACCATCTGGTACAATTATAGCTATTCTGAACTATGCAATTTATGAAAACTATGCAGCCCATTCAGCAACTGAAGAATTTGAAAGTAAATTAAAACAAAATATAATTTTACATTAAATAAAAAAGTTTTAAACTTAATTAAAATAAAACATGTCTTAAATTAAAATAAGTAAACTGTCATGTTTATTGCTGCCAAAAAAAAGTTAAACACATTTGGACAGTGAAGGAATGTCAGGATTCTTGCTCAGAAAAAGGATCAACATGCTCTGAAGTCAGTCTGAAGTCACCTAATTAATGATCCAAAGAAGTATTTAGTAGTTAGAGCAGGGGTGGGGATCTCACCCTGGGTCAGCACACATGAATCAAATGATTAGTTCGTTATCAGGCCTCTGGAGAACTTGTTGGATCAAGGACACATCTAAAACCTGCAGGACACCGGGCCCTGAGGCCTGGAGCCCCCCCACCCCTGAGTTAGAGGCTTCTTCAACAACATGGACGCTCAGTTTTGAAACCAAAAGTCTTAAAAACAAACAAACACATAAACAGTCATTTATTACAGTTTTTATAAGCCATCAAATTGAACATCCACCCAGGATTAGATAAAGTCAGTGTGGCTGGTTTTCCAACTGTGAAACGAATCTAAGAAACACACGTGAGGCTCTGAGATTATTGCAAAAATCATAATCACACTTATTTTGGACAACATTGTAATTTCTGCATTATCTCAAAGCAAGGCGCTTCCTCTAAATTCCCACCTGATACGGAGACGGGACGAGCGGAGAGAGCTGACAAACGAGCGAGCAGTTAACAACATCCTAACTTTTGCAGTGCGCTGTTTTAAAAGTCACACATGGTGCACCTTTATCAAACACACAAGTGACCTAATAGAGACAGGCTGTCATTGCCTCCTCCACCTGTTGGGGCAGCAAAGATCCCACCTGGGTCGGAGGTATTTTTCACAGTAGCACAAACTTGTAATTGATAAAAACTAACAATGGCGACTGAGCTGCTCGGGCTTCAGCATCCATTCAACCTAATTATTTGTGTTAAAGTCGAGAGTAATTCCCGTCACAGCGCTGCCCGTGTTCCACTCTTAGACACGGGTCTAATCAGCAGGAAGTGGAAACACCTGTGCCGCCGTTAATGAGCCAGACTCGTATCTAAAAGCGCGCACCCGTGCCGCTGTTGTTTACCTTTCAGAGAAGAGCGCCGTGCTTCACGCTAATTACAAAGTGATGAGCTGAAAATGTGACAAATTAATGTGAAATTCTCGGCTGTCACCTTACGGTCATTTAAAATAGTGAAGCACGTTTAAAGGTGGCACAAAAATGCTTTAATATTGTTATTTATCACAAACCAAAGAGGCTGGTGCTCCGATAAACTGACTCACCTCAGGAAGTGAACAAGCCCTGATTACTCTTCCCTTAATCATAAACTCAGTACCACCCTGGGTGAACGATAAACAGCCTGAATTAGCAAACTGTCTGCACAGTCCCGTCACTTACTGTATTTTCCACTGTGTGGAGCACATTTGCATCAGGAGCATGGTTCTTGGTGGTGAGCACAAACAAACTGTTGGTGTTCGGTTGTTTGTTTAGTCACGAACATGAGATAAAGGGAAAATTAAACGTCTCCTTATGTAACAGAGGGGGGGCTAATGAGCTCCTTTCTCCATTCCTCCCAGAAAGCATTAGCTTCAGGATTCGTAGAAGTGTGTCAGAATCACCCAGCTCTGCTCAGCCATTAACAACACAAAACCCCAAACACAGTGAGTTTGTCTTCAACGTTGTCCCTGGAAGTGCATGCTTATTAATGCAGGAACGTCATCTTTAAGCTAAAGCCAATAAATGCAGGTATCTCTGAGGTCATGTGACCTTTGTGCCAACAAAACGAGCTTCTAACGTGCTCCAGTCATGTGAGTTTGGCCTGCAGTGTATATACGCCTCCTCGTTAACAGGTGGGCCGATCTGAGCAGTTATTAACATCTGTGTGTTTTTAAGAAACATTCACTATGAATTTGGATTTTTAACCATGTTTATTGCAAATGTGATGTTACGTTATCTGCTGGAATTAAAGCTACTAGAGCTCACTGCAAGTCTGTGTAATCACTGACAACTAGAACTAATTAAACTTGTTAGTTTCATAGTCCCACCAGGTGAAGGTATCGATCCCGCTCTGTGGAGCTGCTGGTGTGGGTGGAGCTGCTCTCTGCATGAATATATGGATCTACTTGCACATCTATAAAACTGGATGAGAAGGAGAAGGTTCCCCTAACCTGACTCATGGGGTCTGCTCCTGTCTCTGTGTACATGTTCTGTTAATTCAAGCTTCTGAGTCATGGATCTTTTAGCATACTGACTGGAAATGTACCTGCCAAATACAGGAGCAGGTAATAGTGAAGCCTTTATAACTGAGCGGTATTTGGTGGTAGACTGAAAATAGCATTTTGTTTTCATTAAAGGTATCGCTGTAATCGCAGAAATATAATATTTAGAATATGTGTTAACAGATGACTCAGTGTTTGCCACTCTGACCTTCAAATGCCACGACATTTCCTTGTTTTTCCTTGTGGCATCTATGACTGACTGTTACGCTGAGACAGGAATGGTAAAGAGCCAGTTTGACTGGATCTGTGGGCTACTGGCATGTGTCCATCTGGTAACATAACAGGCTCCGTCATTAGGAAGTTTGATTTTTATGAAAAATTGCTTCTTTCCTTTCCTTTAAGGGAATGACCCCAGAGCCCAGCAGTACTACTAGAATACTATAAGACTACTAGTAGAAACTGCTGTTTGCTTCGCCTTCCAGCAGTTAATAAAATGTATTTTTACCACACTGAAGTTTTATTTAACAAGTACAAATTTAACCCTGATGCAGAAAATAATTTTTCACAGGCTCAACACCTCTTTGTGACTATTTGTATTTGCAGGTTTTCAGTGCAGCCTCGTATAAGCTCTTTGTGACCAGTGTAACCTGTCGACTGTTCAGCTCATTTCCATGTCATTTATACAGCACCAAATCACAATCACACAACAACAGTCGCCTCAAGGTGCTTCATATTGTACAGTAGATCCTAGAATATTACACACAGAGAAAAACCCAACAATCATATGACCCCTATGAGCAGCACTTTGGCGACAGTGGGAAGGAAAAACTCCCTTTTAACAGGAAGAAACCTCCAGCAGAACCAGGCTCAGGGAGGGGCGGGGCCATCTGCTGTGATTGGTTGGGGTGAGAGAAGGAAGACAGGATAAAGACATGCTGTGGAAGAGAGACAGAGGTGAATAACAGATATGATTCAATGCAGAGAGGTCTGTTAACACATAGTGAGTGAAGAAGAAACACCCAGTGCATCATGGGAATCCCCCAGCAGCCTACAACTAATGCAGTGTAACTAGCAGGGGTCACCTGATCCAGCCCTAACTATACGCTTTAGCAAAAAGGAAAGTTTGGAGCTGTTTTAAACTGAAGGTTCTTCCTCATATTCTTCTTTTCAGGAACAACAAGTCTATAGCAGCTGTTTGTTTTTTTGGCTCTCCAAATCGAGCTATTTAGCCCCTCCCTTACTAAAATCTTAACAACCTCCCACTCCTCCACAATACAGGGAAAAGGTTATGAGCGAAAGAACGATATTGTAGTAAGAGCTTCATTATAACACAACCACACAAGCAATTAAATCCATTCTGTTTATCAATTAGACCCAAACCAGGCGGAGGTGCCAGACACGTCCTGGATTAATTACCGACTGCAATTAATTTTTTGGAGAGAGCGAACTTGGACAAGCGAACGGCAGATTGAGTCAGTGTTGCTGAACTCGCTCTCCTCCCCAGAGACACAACAGATAGCAGCAGAAAGACTCATTTGAATGTTTCCAGGATGCCAAGATATTAATTGGAAGTCAGCAGTGCGGATGTTTGGGTGAGATCGTCAGAGCTGTTATTCCTACATGTCACAATTTGAAGGGGAGACTGCGTCACTCTTATTTATATATATTTTCAAAAAAAATTCCCCTCTCGCCCCTGTGGGTGGCCTATCCTTCAAACTCGGGTCCTCTACCAGAGGCCTGGGAGCTTGACGGTCCTGCTCAGTATCCTAGCTGTTCCTGGGACTCTTCTGGACAAAGATCTCCGATGTTGTTCTTTCTCTCTCTCGATCGATCAATCGATCGATAGATAGATATCTGGTAATGGGGTAATTTACGTTCCATAGAAAAACATTGTGTGTGTGTTCAGTTCCTGTGACAGTAGCTTTTATGTAAAACTGATGCAGATTAGCTTGACTGTGAGACTGGATGCAGCTACCATCTCTAAGGTTAAGGTTAAAGACAATGACTCTTAGCACAGAGTCACTCCGGCTCTTCTGTGTGCAGGTGAAGCAGATTATGGAGGAAGCAGTGACTAAGAAGTTTGTCCACGAAGACAGCAGCCACATCATCGCTCTCTGCAGTGAGTACTCTTCCTTTTCTCTCGTTTTCCACCACATGTACAGTTGTGTGTCTTCACAGGATGTTGCATCGACTTATAGTGATTGTCTGGATTTGATCAAAACTGTAATTGCTGGGGTGATGACACATTTTCACGTCAATATAATTTTCATTCCCTCCTGTAAAATGTTCTCACTAAACATAATTTAGCATCACCCTTCCCATCAGTGCCTCTCTCTCTCTCACACACACAACACACCACCCACACACACACCACACACACACACACACACACACACACACAAACACTTGTTGAACTCCTTACCAGGTGACTTAATGCTGCTTCTCCATCAAGGACTTCCTTTGACGTCACTGTGACTGTGCTGCTGTCTCAGTGGAACGTTAGTAATCACAATGGAGATAATGGAAACCTAATTTCATAGAGAGGCTGTACAAAACCCAAGCTTTCTAAGCCTGTCTGTGTGCAAGTGTGTGTGTGGCCGGACACAGGGGGGTTGCCCCTCCTGACCGGCTTGTTGAGCTTGCAGTACTGTATGAGTCACAGCTTCCATGCTGGTTACAAAGCTGCCTCCGCCTATAGCTGCAGATCAGCCAAGTCACCGATCTCACAGCCAAAGCTTCTCTTTCTTGGGATAAAGATATATAACTGCACCATAACTCGAATAAAATACATGCGTTTTAAAATTTTATCTGAATATGACAAATGCTGAGGTTTTGGCCTCTGACTATTTAATTAAATGTCCAAATATAACAGAAAACGTAGAGACTTCTGATAAGTCTGGGTCGTTGCTTTATTCTCTGACCCAAAACATCCGTCACTCCTGATGAAGAACTACCTCCAGAAGACCAAAGTGAGTCTTACTGACTGGCCTGCACAAAACCCCGACCTGTTAACTGAAGACCAAGGTCTGTGCCAGAAGAGCAGCTTGTGAGACAAGGATCAGAAATCATTTGCTGTGAAATATGTATTTTAAAAAAAAGGGCAGCACGGTGGTTAGCACTGCTGCCGCACAGCAAGAAGGTCCTGAGTTCAATTCCATCATCAGGCCGGGGTCTTTCTGTGTGGAGTTTGCATGTTCTCCCCGTGTTTGCGTGGGTTCCCTCCGGGTACTCCGGCTTCCTCCCACCGTCCAAAGACATGCAGCTTGTGGGGATAGGTTAATTGGATAATCCAAATTGCCACTAGGTGTGAATGTGCGAATGGTTGTCTGTCCCTGTGTGTTGGCCCTGCAACGGACTGGCCCTATGACAGCTAGGATAGCTGAAAAGGAGAAGCGAATGGATGGGTGAAAAAAATGCATGTTCATAGTGGGACTAATAATTCTGCAGATACAAGCAGTGGAAATGAGCTTCATCTCAAGGGTAGGTGGGGTAGTTTAGGGGGGGGGGGGTCGCATTGCTACTCCTTCACATCAGGAGAGTCATTTAGGGATGTTCAGGCGAGGTGTTTCTGGTCTGTCCTATCGGAAATCCTTGTTTCCACGGTTCTCTTTCTCCCTGAATATGAACAGCAGATAAAATCTAAACCCAAGAGCAGGAGTCGGTATATGGACGTCACTCTTTCTTTTAAACATATCAGAAATCGTGTGTCCACCGGGTGTTACCTGGTGGCTTGCTGGCTGCCATTCATTCATCCAGTTATTCCTCATCTGGCAGAGCTTTTCCCCCTAAACGGATGCTCCCTGAGCGTATTTCCATCTCTTCATGTCTTCTCAGCCTCAGTAACTGTAACCTGCACGCTGTCTCATCTCCTGTCACATTTCTCTCCCCCTCTGCTCTCCTGTCCATTTGTCCTGTCCCCCTCCTCACGCATCGCATATGTGTAAGAAAAATGATGTTTCATATATATGCTACTTTAACCTTTATTATTATAAATGCTTTACAGAGACTGAAATGAAAAGAAAAGGCTTTTTTTTTTAAATTAAAAGTTGAATTTTCTCAAATGAAACTAAGTAGTCGGCGTCTCGATGGATGGCCATGGTTTAGCCTGGCAGGACCTTAGATGATACCTGAGGACTGACAGCTGCCTGCTGGTAAAATTCCCCAGGTGTCGCACGTCAGCTGCTTGTCCGCTTTGTTGACCGAACCAAAGAACCACCTCTTTGACTTAAGATGTAGTAATAAGATCATCCTTTCCACACCCACACAAGCAGTGACACGAGTGATAACACGAGTGGCACTGCTGTCAGGTGCACAGTGGGGGAACGCTGTAGTATAAGAGAAGTGACTCAGACTGCACATGCTGGTTGTTCAGCCTTAAGTAACCTTGGCACTATCGATTTCTTCTCCTTTATTCTTATTAGTTTGCATTAAGCCCCACATCCACAGGATTATCACTGACTGACGAGGACCAGAAGTCTTCATGATAAAACTGTGAATCCATCCTTTTGGATTCATAGGAGGATTGTTCAATCCAGTTAATCCAGTCTGGTTATTCTGTAGAGTCTCAGTTAGAATTCCTCAGTATTATGGATGATGCAGTGTTGTTCCTCCTCAGCCACGGGCAGCTGATTTTCAGGAGATCATGATTAGATCCCTGACTCCTTTAGCCCACATGTTAAAGTGTAAAGTCTTCTCATGTATCAGAACTGATTCAACCTTTAGTGCGACAATAAAGTCGTTTTTGACATTGAGACAGTTTTCAGTCACGTGCGGGGAAAGCTTTAAAGTAGAGAGTGTGGCTGTGTTAAAGAAGGGAAGCAGCCTGAAGTATGAGAATGCGTCATTAAAATGTTCTGTTTACAACCTGCGATCAGAGTTTTGCAGCCCACAATTTAAAAATCCAAAATTGTACTTGATTAAAATCTAGCTGATCTCCTACCAGCAGTGCTGCACTCTTCAGTGCTCCATGAAACCTGCTCTAATCACTTGTCGTTTGAAAATTTCCAATGTCCTTTCATACGTCAGCGACACATCCACCTTACTTTCATGTTGGCAAAGAGAAGGAAGAACGGCTGCTGAGTGAAACACTGCCATTGCAGCGTTCTCAATAATCCTTGACATGAACGCAGAGTCTGGCCGAGTGCTCAGATTTGCACGTCCAGAGGTGCGAAAGGACCCGACCTTAAAGGCCAGGGAGGAATTACAGCTATTGTCATGTTTAAAATGAAGGAAGGTCAATTTTTGAAACGTTGTGTTGATAGATTTTTAAACTTTCTAGTTTTTTCCAGCCACTAAATGATCCTCATTTCCTGTGCCAAAGTAAACCAGGCAGTAACCACATGATGTTGCTGCACATTTACGTGCTTCTTCCTTTTCGAGGTCGAGCTGCTTCAGCACAGAGCGTACTGCTGGGAAGGACGAACTGCTGAAACCAGATCATTTCTCTGAGATGTGCTGACATTTAAAGATAATAGCAGCCTGTTCTCTAATGTTGGTGCACACACACTGGATCATGCAAATTTCTCATCCACCGTCTTCACTTGATCCAACATTTGTCTTCAGAACAGCCAGAACCATGTTTGACCTCATCCAAGCTGTGGGAGTGCATGTCCTTCTAACTGCTGATGTGAGAAGAGGGCGCTGTGGAAATTAAACTGTCAGCCTTAGTTTTAATCATAACTCTTCAAGGCAGCACCCAGAGGCGAGGTCTCTCACCTGTCACTGCTGGGCTGGAATGACGTTGTTGAAACAGGCGCTAAAGTCTCGGCAGCGCTGCTCTGCTAACTCAACAAAGCTAAGTGAACTCGACTAATCGAGCAGATGAGATTAAAAGTAAAGGAACTTTTACACAGTAACATAGATGGTTTTATTTAAAACATTGTGGCCTGTTACATAATAACTGGTATGTAGTTTTAGAAAAATAAGTGAATCGATAGATCTGAAGTAGGACGGTAGGAAAAAACGTTTCTTAGCTTCCTTTTTAAAACCTCACCTGTATTCTGAGCTGCATTTCTCAATGACTGGTATATTTATGATTTTGACATCCCATCAGTAACAATTTATATCAAGCTGTTATTCTTTAAAAGCCTGTTTTATGCTAACTGCACTGCAGTAGTTTCTATGAATGTAGCGGAAAGTTTTACTTTTGCTCGAGTCTATTTTTCCCGTTTATTCCCGTCACCGTAAATGAATGGTGGCAATAAAAGGGAAGCACAGCAGTAACTATGCTACTCTAATTAATTTCTTAGAGCCAAATGCATGATGTGATCAGTCAGTGTCTCTAAAATCTGCTCAAGTGATTTTAGACAGAGCCTGAAGCATCTCATAACGTTATCTGGAGCTGCTGATGGTTGAAACGGTTGCTTATTAGATATATGGGCTTGGACAGTGCAAGTGTGTGGTTTCCCTTTTATTTAATAAAGCAGATCTTTAAGGAAGAGTAATTATTTTTGTTAGACCTTAGCAGCGGCACACAGCAGTCCGGATTGTTTTCAAGCCAGCCTTGGAAGAGACAGGACAGTGGTGGAAATGTGATGTAATCATATTTACATATTTGGAGGTTTAGCACTCATTAAAATAAATGGAACTGGCTTTAATTTGACACCAGTGGCCACATAGTTAGTTAGAGCTCAAAAACGGATTCTAAGTGATATCTTTAGGCTCTTTGTTAGTGTCAGGCTGTTTCTTTAGTTGAATCTACCAATAAAAACCAAAGATGTTTCAGGCCTAAACAAAAAACAAACTCTCTGCAGCAGATGAACAGTATGTGAAAGTGATATCCTTCAGAAATAGGACCTGACACAGTTGGTCTCATAGGAAGGGTGTCCATCAGCAAGTCATTCTAAAGGATGAGAAACAGGGAAAAGGCTGAGGTCATCCAAATTATATAAGAACTGAAATTCAGTGGGTTTGTTCTTTATCCTGTCTTCCTTCTCTCACAGCAGATGGCCCCGCCCCTCCCTGAGCCTGGTTCTGCTGGAGGTTTCTTCCTGTTAAAAGGGAGTTTTTCCTTCCAACGGCAACAAAAGGCCTGCCCATAGGGGGTCATATGATTGTTGGGTTTTTCTCTGTATGTATTGTTGTAGGGTCTACCTTACAATATAAAGCGCCTTGAGGTGA